GCCTGGATGAGTGCAGCTCCAACAATATTCAAAACAAAAATGTGACATCATCCAGGAAAAACAGCTCACTTAATTAGCACCTTATCCACCAGTGACACACGTTAACAGCAGCAACTGTAAGGTGCATTGGAACAACTCACCAATTTTCCTTCCAAACCTGGGACCTCTACCACTTAGAAAAGCAGATGTGCAGGAACATCACACATTGCAAATTTCTGTCCGAGTTACACATCATCCTGACTGTATTGCCATTCCTTCACTGACACTGGATCAAAACCCTAGAACTCCCTCCCTCACAGCACAGTGCGTGTCCCGACACAAGGACTACAGCAGTTGAAGAAAGCAGCTCATTACCACCATCTCTGCAGTCCTGCCACATCCAGTCATGAATGGCAGTGGACAATTAAAAAACTCACTGGCCTCGGCAGTAATGCCCACAAATAAACTTCCAGGCACTACACTCCAGACCATACATACTTTTGCACTCAGCCAGTAATTTTCATATTGCGTTTGCCTCTTTTTCAAATTATTTTAATAAATGGTAACATCTCCCCCTCCTTCCCCAGGAGTCTACTCTGTAGGGACGCCTCATGACTTTGAAAAAATTATATCAAATCTCCTCACCAAGGAAAACAATCCCAATTTTTCCAAACTATTTTCAATGAAGTTTATCAACCCTGGAACCATTCCCCATAGAATCCCTACAGTGTGGAAGCAGGCCATTTGGCCCATTAAATCCACACCAGCCCCATGAAGAGAATCCCACCCCCCTAACCCTGTACCTGCATATCCCATATCACCTAACCTACACTTCCCTGAGCACTATGGGCAATTTAGCATGGCCAATCCTCCTACCCTGTGCATCTTTGGACTGTGGGAGGAAACTGGAGCACCCGGACAAAACCTACACGGACACGGGGAGAATGTGCAAACTCCACATGGATCGGTGCTCAAGGCTGGAATCGAACTTGGGTCCCTGGCGCTGAGGCAACAGTGCTAACCACTGAGCCAATGCACCACCCCTTGTAAACTTTATTTGTACTTTCTCCAAAACAGTCACATCCTTCTTTAGGTGTGGTACCCAGAACAGTACATAATACCCCAACTGATGTCTAACAAGTGTCCTATACAGATTTACCATAACTTCCTTGCTCTTGTACTTTATTCCCCTATAAGCCAAGGATACTGTATGTGTTATTAACTGCTTGCTCTACCTGGCCTGACAACTTACACACGTAAACTAGCTCTCGCTGCACCTGAACATCCTTTGGGGTAATGCCCTTTATTTATAATGTCTGTCCATATTTTTACAACCAAAATGTAATGCCTCACACTTCCCTGCATTGAGCCCCATCTGCCAGCTATCTGCCCACTCAACTAATTGTCAATGTCATTTTGAAGCTCTACACTGTCCTCCTTTTACCAAGTATTGTATCATTCACAAACTTTGAAATTGTCCACTGTTCACTGTGGTCTAGGCCATTAATATACATCTGGAAAAATAATGACCCCAATATCGATTTCCTGAAGAGTTCCAACATACCTTCCTCCAGCCCAAAAAATATCCATTAATTATAACTGTCTGTACCCTGTCACTCAGCCAATTCTGTTTTCACATTGCTAGTGTCCCTTTTACTCCATGAGCTCTAACATTCCTCACAAGCTTGTTCTACAACACTGTACCAACACCTTTTAGGATGCACATTCTCCACATCAACAGCATTACCCGCTCAATCTTTCCTGTTACTGCTGCAAAAAACTTCAGCAGGTTAGGTAAACACGATTTTTCCTTATGAAATCAATGCAGGGTCTCCATAATTGTCCACATGACTACTGATTCTACCCCAAAGTTGCACAGGGAAATATACAGCCGTTTATTCACTATGGCTGGGTCAAAATCCTCAAATTTCCTCCCCTAAAGTATGGTGCATGTAATTAAACCATAAGGCCTCAGTGGTTTAAGAAGGCAGCTCATCACCATCTTTTCAAGGTGTAAGTACCAATGAGCAATAAATGACGCCTCATCCTGGAATAGATAAAATAAAGTACTTTTTTCTGAATTTTCACACTTCTCCGGGAGCAGTTTCTTGGTTTCTATCTCAGCAAATGTTTATTCTTCATTTGTGAGCGTAGATGGTGAGTGCCACTCAACCATTGTGCTTTTTTTATTCATTATCGTGAGATGTGGGCACCGCTGGCTGACCAACATTTATTGCCCGTCCCTAGTTGCCCTTTAGAAGGTGATGGTGAGCTGCCTTCTTGAACTGCTGCAGTTCACCTGCTGTGGGTTGACCCACAATGCCCTTACAGAGGGAATTTCAGGATTATGACGAAGTGACAGTAAAGAAACAGCGATATATTTCCAAGTCAGGATTTTGGGTGGCTTGGAGGGAACCTTATGGGGTGTGGAGGGGTAATTCCTCTGTATCTGCTGTCCTTGTCCTTCTCGATGGAAGTGGTTGTGGGTTTGGAAGGTGCTGTCTGAGGATCTTGGGTGAATTTCTGCAGTGCATCTTGTAGATAGTCCACACTGCTGCTACTGAGCGTCGGTGGTGGAGGGAGTAGATGCTTGTGGATGCAGTGCCAATCAAGCGGGTTGCTTTGTCCTGGATGGTGTCAAGCTTCTTGAGTGTTGTTGGAACTGCACCCATCCAGTTAAGTAGGGGGTATTCCATCACACTCCTGACTTGTGCCTTGTAGATGGTGGACAGGCTTTGAGGAGTCAGGAGGTGAGTTACTCACCACAGTATTCCTAGCCTCTGACCTGCTCTTGTAGTCACTACGTTTATGTGGTGAGTCTAGGTGAATTTCTGGTCAATGATAATCCCATAGGATGTTGATGGTGGGAGATTCAGTGATAGTAACACCATTGAATGTCAAGGGTTTGATTGTCTCTTTATGGTGGTGGTCATAGCCTGGCATTTATGTGGTACGAATGTCACTTTCCACTTGTCAAACTAAGATCTGGTTGCATTTGAACATGGACTGCTTCAGTATCTGAGGAGTTGTGAATAGTGCTGAATATTGTGCAATCATCAGTGAACATCCCCATTTCTGACCTCATGATGGTCGGGAGGTCATTGATGAAGAAGCTGAAGATGTTTGGGCCTAGGACATTATCCTGAAGAACTTCCGCAGAGATGTCCTGGAGCTGAGATGACTGACCTCCAACAACTATGACCATCATCCTATGTGCCAGATATGACTCCAACCAGTGGAGAGTTTGTCCCCTGACATCCATTGATTCTAGTTTGGCCAGGGCTCCTCAATGCCACACTCAGTCAAACGCGGCCATGATGTCAAAGGCTATCACTCTCACATTATTTAACTGTGTAGTGTATCACAACCATTTAGGTCTTCAGGACATCACATGTAGATGCAGTCCTGTCCTCATTCAATATTCATTCATTCCAGTATGTGTCACTGAGGAGTAAGGCTGGGCAAAAAATCTGGTAGATTTTTCTCCCGCTGACATCCACTGGACTCCAGCTATCTCAATACAAATGCAAATCAGCTATGAAACTTTCGGATCTGTGAGGCTCAGTTCATGCTGGGGAGTGCATTTACAAACTAAGCAATCCAAAGAAATACTTGGAATTAATTTTAAATTTAGGCAATAGTGCAAAATGAACAATATTGAATTGGCCTTCCAGCATACTTCCTGCTTTTATTTCCGTTAAACTTGAACAGAAATAAGAAATGGGAGCGATGTGTATTGGAAGAACAAAGGATTCTGTCTATTATCACCATCAGCTGATGTTAGCATGACCCAACAGTCACTGTAGTTGGTCAACTAAGTTCCAGAATGTTCTACTCACCACTACCTCAATCTACATTAGGGAACATATTCATTCAGTAATTATTGAACTATTTTATTATTGAGCTTTTTAGAAATGCTTCCAATTGATTAATGGACATAAATGGTACTCTTGGAAGAAAATGTGTATTCAGACTCAGACAACCTCATCATATGTCAGACAGCAATATTTTAGTTCCAAAAGAATGATTCAAAGGAAAGTTGACTAATCATAGAGAAAATCAGTTTTAAAACCTTTAAAGAAGTCAGAAATACAACTACACCTTAAAGGAAGAGTGCTGATTAGTAAAAGCAGATTGTGTTCAGTTCACTGTCCCAACCTTGCACACCCCATCTCAGATTGGATTAGTTCCACAACATTGAGATTTCATGGCACTGTTTTGGCCATCTGTCAGGGTTAAACACAGCAGCCATCTCATAAAAAATGAGGTCAGCTCAGAGCACTGTCAGCACTGTATATCTTTCAGTGTGCTTGGTCATTTGTTCATACTCTTAAACATCTCTGCAGGTCTTCGAAAGCCACACACAGGATTCTTTCCATAGATTATAGAAAATAAGGGGGAATTCACAGCAGCTCGCTTATAAAATTCAAGTACAACAATCAAGTCTCTAATTTGTACTTGTGAGGATCCCAATTACTAATTCACAAATTGATACAGTTAAGCTGAAGCAGAGGTTCAAGCAAAAACTTATGGAGATCAGTCCTGTATTACTGGTAATATTTCACAAGTTTTAGTTTACATTTAATTGATATATAAATATTTGGTCCCCATAACCATAGGCTTTTATTTTGTTCAGTGTTAATGCCAGGGGGCGTCGATAACACACCACTGTATTTTTTTTTGAGAGAGGAGGGTGAAGAAGATTTACATTTACTTAAAAATCTTCTATTAAAGGAGACTTAAAGCACTGAACCTAAACTAAGTTTGGAACTAACAGCAGTCCATTTTTTTTTTTAACTAAGCCACTTTTGCTATACAAATGACAGATGCATTATAAATCTCCAGGAGTGGAGAATGGAGGGAGCTCTGTCAAATCACTTGTATAGCAGTGCAGAAACAACACATATGCTCTTTCAAAACGGAGTCTTTGATTTGAAATGTTGTTCAATTTAGTTAAATCCCACTGTTTTAGCAGCTGGCAACAGGATACAAGAAGCAGGAGTAGGGCCTTAGGTGCTGACCTCTTGCTGTGAGCTTGCTGTAGATCTGGGAGTTCACTTCTTTGTCGCGGACATGACATCGAATCTCCTCCACTGCCTCTCGAATGACTGTCACTGCCAACACAAAACCCTGCAAACCAAGAATAAGATGAAAGTCAATAGATTTAGGAAAACAATTTTATCTCCATGCTTTACCCTCACAAAACATAATGCCAGGAGCTGGTATTTAACAAACTGAAATACGATATAAACTGCAGTGATTGCCTCAGATATTAAACAGTAGGATTTAGCAGCTTTCTTTTAATAGTGGAGGAAGGACAGTAGTATTTCAAGGGCAGGTTTATCATCACTACAGTAAAGGCTGCACCTGAACAAGCACGATGCTGTAATGTAATAAACTATCTCATCTCTCCATTTCACGTACTTAAAGTAGTTTTTCAGAAGTCTCCTTTGAAATGTGCCTCTGAAGATCTTCTGATACTTAGTATTCACTGATACCTGGCATCCCACCAGACAAAACGATCCCAATTCTAATTCTTGATTTGTGATGATTTCAGCTGGAGTAACAGTTAAAATGCTATAATGTGCGATAATATCACAGTACCAAGGCAAGGGAGGGTGCAAACATTTTTCAAAGTTTCCCATTCTTGTTTATTGTGGAAATTGGGGAGGACCTGTCAGATTCAGTTGTGGTCTTTTCCACAGCTGCCTAACCTTTCGCCATCTGAACTCATACAAAAATGGGTCGCTTGAATAGGGTGCTAGAGGGATACTGACAATAATGAGATTGTGCCTCAGTCATGTTCACAACCATCGAGAAAGTGAAAGGTGACATCAATGAAAATTGGTTTCAGAATAGGTAACGCCCAAGAGTAGTTTTCAAACAAACACAGCATGAATTTTCTGCCAATGTCTTTGATTGTATTGAATCGAATAGAATGCTGAAAATCTTGGAATCACTGACGATGCAGTTCATGTTGAGATTAAGGGACTGCAAGATCTTTCTTGGTTGATGAGATAAGATAGAAGGTTTGAGCTATAAGGAGAGACTAAATATGCTGAGACAATTTTTCTCCAGACTGTCAGAGGCTAGGGGGTGACCTTATAGAGGTTTATAAAATCATGAGGGGCATAGACAAGGCGAAGGGCCAGGGTAGGGGAGTTCAAAACTAGAGGTCATAGTTTAAGGTGAGGAAAGATTTAAACAGATCTGAGGGGCAACCTTTTCACCCAGAGGGTGGTGCATCAATGGAATGAGCTACCACAGGAAGTGGTAGAGGCCGGTACAATTAACATATTTAAAAAAAAATTCGGACTGGTAGATGAATAGGAAAGGTTTAGGGGAATATGGGCCAAGGTGGGCAAATGAAACTTGTTCAGTTTAGGACATCTGGTCAGCCTGGACAAGTTGGACCGAAAGGTCTGTTTCCATGTTGTATGACTCTATGACTCTAAGTGACCTTTAATACCTGTATGTGTATGCACCAGCAATAGAGGCATTACATCCAGCTTTCATGCCACTAAACTATGGATGGACGAAGCCAATTGGTAATCCTTTTGTAAAAGGTAAATGCATGAAGACAGGGGTTCAGGATTGGCTGCATTGTTCTCTCTCCATGTGACCTGTCTTTACTCAGTCCTCTAAGGTTAAATATGACAATTAGCCACAGAAGAGGAAAGCGGATGAAAAAGGAAAATAAATACTTTTCTTAGTGCAAATGGAAACCGATGCTTAATGCTGCATACTTAAACTCTTATGTTTGATGCATAAATTATGCTTCTGTGTCTGATTGGAATCAATTTGTCCTGAAGTGGGCCTCTACTGGAGTATTAAATTCCATTCCAGAACGGCAGAGACAAATTTCAATCCCAGCCAAAACTATCTGAACTCAACTCCAAATCTGACTGATTATGTTCTGCCAATTCTCAGCTGTTGGATGGAACACAGAATCTCAGGGACAGAGACACATAAAATACTAGTCTGGTCCATCTCTCATTCATCAGGCAGCTGCAGAAAACCACAAGACTATTAGTGGCATTGGCTATTTCTCCTCTTGGCTGAAGAACAGCAGCAAGCGCCACTATAATTGAACAGAAGCAGAGAGGAATTACAAACTATTTTCAAACAATGAAAGGATTAGTTGTCTGGTTTAGGAAGACTACCATAGCTACGCAAAAAACAATTAATTCTACAGAAGTTGCACATTAGTCAGTTTACCTTTCCCCACCAGACTGCCTCTCTGTCAGAACTTTTGCTATAGTAGCACAGGAAGAATTAAACATTTTTTAATAAAAAGTTATATAACATCACATTAGGTGTTCTGTGGCCACTATCACTCACTTCCAGATATTACAGTGCAAGGAAAAATAAATAATTACACTTCAGATTCTCTGCTCATACAAAGTAGGATATATCTTCAGCAGATCACCTGCCCACCCAAATAAGCTGATGCCTGACCCGGGTAATTTTAAAACACCAGGGCTATTAGCACAGTCATGGTAGGTTCTTAAAGTTTAGTTGGGGAAGTAACCTAGAGAGGGCACAATACCCTTATGTCATTATAAAATATACTTGAAAAACGTTGTCGAAGTGTATTGAAAGTGTTAATAGGCGCAGTGGCCATTTAAATTCTCTCTCTGGAATTTAAAGTTATGTTGATCATGTGGGAGCAACAAGCTTGTTAAATAACCAGTGTTGCTATGGTGCAACAGTTAGGAAATGCCTCATCATTTCAATATGTCCACCTTTGAGCATGTTGCATCCCTGTCCCGCTATTTTTTAATCTCTCGATGAAAGCTGATGAATGATGACAGCTTCCACATGAATAGCCTAGAAGTAATTAACAGTAAATTATTGATTCTATTTAAAATAACATCACTGCACTTCCTGAAACCTCTTTAAATTAATTATGTATTCATAGCTGTGCAATGAGATTTCCTTCAAACTGCAGGCATTTGCTTCTAAATCATCGTTTTTTACCCCTTAAAATGTTTTTTTTCTCTCTACATTTGAGTTCAATTTTCTGGAGGATTCTGGTTCCATTCATTTTTTTTTAAAGATTTCATACTTTCCTCTAAGAAAATAAGCTATTCACCCCATCAACTGTACTAATTTGTGCAGAAATGCATGAGTAACCAGTTGCCAGGTGGCAAAATCAACATTTACCAGTTGACACCGGACCTGGCTGTGTTATTTTAACTACCTGTTCTTTTGGGCGGGTTTAAAGACAATGAAAATTGTTAAAAAGGTAAGCAGTTCTATCAAAGTTTTTAAACTCTGCTCTGTTCCACATCTGGTATCCCAATTCTCTTGATGAAGTTAACAAAATTATACAAAGGAAAGAAAATGGAAAGGAAGCAAATTGATTCATGACTTTAAAAAATGTATATTTACCAAATGAAAAACAGCATAACTCCAAGTAAGTGATTTATATTCTTTCCCAGGAACAGGAATTGCTTGAACAAAAAGAATTTTAAATTGCCCCTTAGTCAATGAATCAGTTTACTGTTGGATTAAGTCATCTCAGTTGGTGTAAGGATAAGCATCTAACAGACTGCAGTGCAGATTTCAACACTATTTTCTTTTTGCTCTCTCCTGATGGAGGAGACTGAATCATAGAATGCTTACAGTGCAGACAAAGGCCATTCAGTCCATCAAATCTACACCGCCCCTCCAAAGAGCATCCCAACCAGATCCAACACCTCCTCCCCCCACCCCCACCCTATCCTTGTAACCCTGTATTTTCCACGGTTAATCCACTTAGCCTGCACATCCGTGGACACCATGGGCAATTTAGCATTGTCAATCCATCTAATCTGCACAGCTTTGGACTGTGGGAAGAAGCCAGAGATGCTGGAGGAAACTCACACAGACACAGGGAGAATGTGCAATTGCACAAAGACAGTCACCGAAGGGTGGAATTGAACCCAGGTCCTGTGAGGCAGCAGTGCTAACAACTGAGCCCGCTTGTTGCCCAGACAGAATAGACTGATAGGTGGGAAACACTTTTATAAAAGTTGGTACTCGAACAGTATCTCAGGCAACTGGCCATCATTCAAATCAGCCAACACAGTCAGTATTAGTCGGATATTTAACTGTGGAGGTGTCACCTCCACAACCAAACTCATTGATCAAACATCCATACACATGCATGCACACATAAATTTTCTAGCATTGTTACTGAAATGCAATCAACAGCCAGACCACAAACTTTATCTGCTCCTTAAGCCCAGTATATCAAGGCCAATTGTGGGAAACCAATAGAGATCAACTAACTCAGGATATACTTGGGTTTTCAAATGGATCAGTAGGAGTTAGAACACAATTTTACAGTGCTATTAGGGTAATCCCAGCAGTCTTGCACTTTGAATATCAATATGAGGAACACAACTAACATGTTATCCTGCATACCTCACAATAGATTTTAAAACAAAAACTTTGTCGACACAAACAAGTTCCACCTTAAGTAAAAGTTAGGGAAGCCTGTTCTTCAAAAATAAAGCAAAATGATTCCATTGACGTATTTAACACATTCACAGAAATCATCGAATTCTAATTAGGTACCGTCAGAGTGCCAAGCATCTGTTCAAGAAAGTTCCAGAAATGTAGGTGTGATTATATTGTGTAGAAACAGAACTGGACCTCTGACCAACACAACTTTACCTCGGAGTTTGAGGGGTGACCTTGTACAGGTTTATAAAATCATGAGGGGTATAGATAAGGTGAATAGCAAGGGTCTTTCCCTAGGGTAGGGAGAGTTCAAAACAAGAGGCCATATTTTTAAGGTGAGAGCAGAAAGATTTAAAAAGGATGTGAGGGCAACTTTTTTTTTTAAACGCAGTTTGTGTGTGGAATGAGCTGTCAGTGGAACTGGTGGATGCAGGTACAGTTCCAACATTTAAAAGACATTTGGATAAGTTCATGAATAGGAAGAGTTTGGAGGGAAATAGGCCGAGCACAGGCAGGTGGGACTAGTTTGGATTGGGAACATCGGTGTGGACTAGTTGAACCAAAGGGTCTGTTTCCATGCTGCATAATGCTATGACTATGACTCCACAAGTGGGATCTGCTGTATATACAGTACTAGCAATTAAAACCCTTTTAAAAAAAATGTTAAAAAAAATTTCTAAAAATATCAGCTGCTGAGCAACAGTTTGATAGGAAGCATATCCACACAACAAAAAGGCGAACAAAAAGGCTCGACAATTGATTGTTCAAGTACTAGTTAGGCAAAATCCCTTCTCCATAAAGTTAATGCCAACCAACAATATGTCTTTGGCCAGCTTACTAGCTCGACAAACTCCAGAGTCTAGACATTCTCGTAAATGTATATCATTACATCCTGATTCATGCACAGCAAATATTGACTGGGTTAACAGTTGAGATCAAGGGTCCAAACATAAATGTACTTAAGAGAAATGCATCATATGCAGTTACAACAATGATCATCATTTAAATATATGACTTACTAGTTAAATTTGATAAGATACATTGCACTTTTAATACAACAACTCAGTTTGAAACTTTTGACCAGAATTCACTGACGTGGCAGAAGGATTACTCAAACACACAAACTTCCATGCCTCATTAAACATGTTCATGGCCAGCTCCTGCTTGACCACTGCCAGAATGAGATGGGTGGGCAAGATTGCAAGGCAATAGGCCATTATTGGTTATCCATGGAATCACACTCCAACATAAGATTAGTGATTGGTAGGTGGGTGTGATCTGAGTTTGAGCCCAATACCAAAGTGGGAAGGAGAAGCGAAAACCAGCAGAACTTCAAGAAATACTCTTGCCTCTCCTGGCCAATGAGGAAACCATTATACTTACTTGGACAACTTCTTGCGTACAATGGGTTTCATGTGTAAATCATATGGCTCAACATTAAAATAATATCAGAATTTGAATTATGTCACCATATCCCAATTTTTGCACTGCCAATGGACATTGCTGACAGCCTGGACTGGAAGATCAATTATATCCCAAACTATACCACCGGAAGGATGCAGGATGCAAGTAAAGCATGAAACTCAAGTAGCGTGTTGTCCTAATTTTAATCACCACATACTCCATTCTTAATAAACTCTGAATAAAATTTAGGTTAATTTAACTGCAGTATTCAAATAACCTGCGATGACTGTATTGGCGCCGCCTCGTGCTCCCACGAGGAGCTCAAACAGTTCATCCACTTCACCAACACCTTCCACCCCACCTCAAGTTCACCTGGACCATCTCTGATACCTCTCTCTCCTTCCTGGAACTCTCTGTTTCCATCTCTGGCAACCACCTAGAAACTGATATCCATTTCAAGCCCACCGACTCCCACAGCTACCTAGAATACACTCCCTCCCACCCATCTTCCTGCAAAAAGGCCATCCCCTATTCCCAATTCCTTCACCTCCGCCGCATCTGCTCCCAGGATGAGGCATTCCGCTCCCGTACATCTCAGATGTCCTCGTTTTTCAAGGACCACAACTTCACCCCCTCAGCAGTCGAGAACGCCCTCGACCGTGGCTCCTGCATTTCCTGCAACTCATCTCTCACACCCCCTCCCCGCAATAACAACCAAAACAGAATCCCCCTCATCCTCACGTACCACCCCACCAACCTCCGAATCCAACGCATCATCCTCCGACACTTCCGCCATCTGCAATCCGACCCCAACACCAAGGACATTTTTCCCTCCCCACCCTTATCTGCTTTCCGGAGGAACCACTCTCTCTGTGGCTCCCTTGTCCGCTCTACACACCCCTCCAGCCCCACTACACCTGGCACTTTTTCCTGCAACCGCAGGAAGTGCTACACCTGCCCCTACACCTCCCCCCTCACCCCTATCCGTGGCCCCAAGAAGACCTTCCACATCAAGCAGATGTTCACCTGCACATCTGCTAATGTGGTATACTGCATCCGCTGTTCTCGATGTGGCCTCCTCTACATCGGGGAAACCAAGCGGAGGCTTGGGGATCGCTTTGCAGAACACCCACGCTCGGTTTGCACTAAACAACTGCACCTCCCAGTCGCGAACCATTTCAGCTCCCCCTCCCGTTCCTAGACGACATGTCCATCCTGGGCCTCCTGCGGTGCCACAACGATGCCACCCGAAGGTTGCAGGAACAGCACCTCATATTTCGCTTGGGAACCCTGCAGCCCAATGGTATCAATGTGGACTTCACAAGCTTCAAAATCTCCCCTCCCCCTACCGCATCCCAAAACCAGCCCAGCTTGTCCCCGCCTCCCTAACCTGTCCTTCCTCCCACCTATCCCCTCCTCCCCCCCCAAGCCCCACCCCCCTCTCCTACCTACTAACCTCATCCTGCCCCCTTGACCTGTCCGTCCTCCTTGGACTGACCTATCCCCTCCCTAACTCCCCGCCTCTTTGACCTGTCTGTCTCCTCTCCATCTGTCTCCCCCTCTCTCCCTATTTATTTCAGAATCCCCTTCCCCTCCCCCATTTCTGAAGAAGGGTCTAGGCCCGAAACGTCAGCTTTCCTGCTCCTTGATGCTGCTTGGCCTGCTGTGTTCATCCAGCTCTACACCTTGTTATCTCTGCCTCAAACATTGTTTCTTTTCAAAATCTTTTAAATAACAGGAGATGTCAGAAGACGAATGGTGGACTTACCAAAGGAGCCCAATATGTATACAGGGCGCCAAGTCGCAAATCTGGTACAAACTGGGAACACGCCAACAGCAGGAAGTAAAGGTTAAAGAAATACTTAAACTGGTTAAAAAGTACCTAAACAAGAGAAAGAAAAAAATGCATTAAATTCTAAATGAAACAACCATGCTTCGTATACTGAAGCACTGCAAAACAACAAAATATACAATGCTGTTTTAATATAATGTGTTCAATCAATTATCCACAACTTCCTATGACCTCATTCCCAAAAATGATTGTTCAATAACACAATTAGAAAAAGTATTGAAACTGTACACTGTCCCCAGGGATGGAATTGATAGTACTATTTGATGTTGAGTAAATATTCTGTTTTGGATACATGTGGTAAATTGGAATCAAGTTGTAATTGAAATAGTTTGCTTTCTTCATAATTCAACTTTCTTCTCTAAGATTTTTATATAATCACAAAGCTTTCTGAGAACAAACGTAAAGAGGCAGTGTAAAAAAACATAATTACTTTCCTTTCCTTGCATTATAAAATTGCACTCAAGTATTTAAGTGTGGTGACCTGATATGGTTTATTTCATGGATTTGAAAACAAGTGTGTCTGGTGCACCACTCGAATAATCTGTTTTTAAAATCACTGAAAATGATTTTGATACTGTACAGAAGCATTTATTGGTTTCATTAGTATACAGTGGTATACAGTATTTTTTTTTCCAATATTTGACAACTTTTGTAAAGAAACCCAGGAAAGTCAGTGATGTCACCAGGGCCAGTTTGAAGGGAAATGTTGGGTAGGGTGCAGGGATGTGGGGAAGGAGGAGGGGTATGGGAAGCAGAACTGTGGGGTTGAGGCACTCCGATTGCACGGGGGACTCAAAAAGGAGGCAGCCCTTCCATTCACTGACAAGCACCCTGCACGGTTAAAGTTGCCAGGCCACACACTGAGCGTACGCCTCTCTCACCATATTCAAAAACATAGTATGAGCAAGCAGGCCAGCAAATGGCATATAGCTAACGGCACCACACCCTAATTTACTGACCCATCAATCTGTTTCCTCACTCATACGTTGCCCCTAAAAGTCAACACCATAGATCTAATTAGAATGTACAAGTAACAGGGAAAAAAGTTGACACACTTTAATCGAGTTCTTCAATTCTACTTCAAATTAGCTTTGGAGTTTTACGTTCAGTTTAAAGATTTTCCCTTCTTATATTTTGATCCTCTCCTCCTTTGGAATTCTTGGTTTATTCTAGCTCATGGTTTAAGCATGGCTGCATAGGCCTTTTTCCATTCTTTCATGGGACATGGGGCACCACTGGCAAGGCCAGCATTTATTGCCAATCCCCAAATGCCCTTGAACTGAGTGGATGTTAAACATTTCAGTGGGTAGTTAAGAGATACCTACATTCCCGTAGGGTTGGAATTTCATATTAGCCAGACTGGACAAGGATGGCAGATTTCTTTCCCTGAAGGACATTAGTGAATCAGTTCATTTTCATCAAGGATGACTGTAGTCATGGTCACCAGATTTATTAATTGAATTTAGACTCTATGGCAAGATTTGAAGCCATGTCCTCTGAGCATTATTATTAATTCACTGAGATTGCCCCTAAGCTATAGGCACCTGGAAATGGATCCACATGGTCAATGCCAATGGGGCAAGGTGTTAGTGACTGACAAGGAGCCAGCAGTGAGCTGGAGTCTCCAGGTAACCATTCTAAGTGTGTTGTCAGAAATTATCACTGTCTTATTTCTATCCAGCAGGTGGGGGAATGCAAAACTGAATATTAGTGAGATCAGGTGACATGATAATGAGAATGTTAATGTGTTGTTAACAGGCCTCTTGCTGCTCACTGGCAAGAATCTCAGCTTGTTGTTTAGCACTTAGTTGAAAAATGGGGACTATTTTGCTCTTGCTATCAGGAAGCATCTCACACAATTCTCACATATTTCTCACCACTGTCATGACACAAGTGTGGTATCTTCCTTGGCCCTATGTCATTCCAAATTAGTTTGGAGAGTACAATGAACGGCAAGGATTAAAGGGATTTGGAAACAAGTGGATAAATAAAATTGAGACCTTTTGCTTACCTGGATGGTGAACACCAACACAAGCTAAATGATCCTCATGCCCCATTTCCATGAGGTGAAACAATTTAATAGAAATGAAAAGATCTGTCCTAATATAAGCTAACAGATATCCCACCATTACAATCAAAACAGGCAATACCTGGTGACTGCTCATTACATAAGTAAAAGATTCCGAGCTTCTGTCTCAATAATCTCAAAGGTGAATGCAGCAAAAGATCTGTGAAAAACTGCACAAGACATCAAGTCTGCTGTCAAGTCTTTACAACAGCCTCATTTGACCCTTGGGAGCCTTCAGCTAAAATAAAGACCGCTGGAAAGTCCTGCTGAAAATAACAACCTACGTTTGAGTACAAATGATTTTAGCACTTTGAGGTAACTTTGAGGGTCCATTAAGGTAACAGCTGTTATCTGACAAGGAAGAAAATAAAACTACCAAGCATTGGGCTCCAACATATTGCACTACAAACTCATGACATGTAGCTGATTTTCACTAGAAACTTTCGACCTTAGTATTGCATTTTAATGCATTTACTCTTCTTAGTACGTAAAGCGAGGTGAGGGAAAAATTCTACTTAATCAAATGTCCTTTTATTCACACATTAGTAACCAACTGAATGTCATGTACTGATAGAAGCAGACCACTTGGCAATCTAATTTAGAGGGTGTAATGGGGCTTGAAGGAAATCTGAGTAGGCTCATTTAAGCAAAGTAGCTATTGGAAGAGTTGAATTGCCTGCTACTTGTGAGTTACCAGCAACACTCAAAATCATTAACCGATATAGGCACAAACTCGTACATACATATTTGCACAAGCCAAAAGAAATACATTCAAACAAGTTATGCTCAAATAGAATACATATTTCTTAATGGGGGACTTTGAATGGTTTCAAAGATTATAATTCACTCTTCATTTAATAAATGAGATTCATCAAACACATACCCCAGGGAGAAAGGTGAAGAAGTTGTATTTTTGATTATTGATAACATTTCGTGGGTATTTATGATCTCGCTTCTCTGGGTGTCCAAGCCACACTGTGCGAGGTTTGAAATCCCTTCCTCTACAGCACCAGCCACAGCATCTTTAGAAAGAAAAATTTCTATTTAGAGTATGTACTGCCTAATTAAAATACCGATATTGTAAATTGAAGACTTATTTTTCAGGTCAATCACAGTTTCATTTGACATGATGTTGATATATATTGTTTCATTTGCCTCCTGGCTAGTTAATATTGTGGTCATACAGAGAGTAGTACAAAATAAGTATAAATAACAAGTTTGCATCAAATTAAAATTCATGCATCGCTTTTCTCCTGAATAAAACAGTGAATCCCGCAAATGTTTGCATGTAAGTAAATTTACTAAGTTTGATACTCATTTTTTTAACCTTTCTGACTCATTAAAACCCTTAAGAAAGTGACATTTAGTCCTCAATTTACACGTAACGTACAAAAGTCTTTGTCAGGTGAGTCACTGTTTCCCAAAACTATTTATTTTATATTGATTATCAAGTGTTAGCAATATATACCATTTAAAGTTACTGAAAAAAATGTTCCTTATGCATTGTTTGACAAATTGAATGCTATCTACAAAATAAAGTAGACTACAACTTTGTGAGCACCTTAGAATTTGAAGAAATTGCATGAAACATTCACCTTCTCGGGTGAGCTGGAAGATCTTGAGCAATTCAAACAGCAGGAGGGGAGCTCTGGCAAACATCTATCCCTCAAATAGCTATTTCATTTCAGTGCTGCTTCAGGGCCTTTGTTGGGAGCAGATATGGTTGTTGGGTTGACCTACAGTGACTACACTTCAAGGGTGATTAGCAGCCTCGAACAAGCCAAGCCAGGTGAGATACACACAAACTCAGGGGCACAGAAATACAGAAATGGGGAATGAGAAATTGGTCTTCAAGGGGAAGGACAGGAAGCAGCAAAAGAAGCAGAATGGATTGCCCTAATCTCAACAGGAAAGAGATATATGTATTTCTCATCCTTATTGTTGAACATTAGTGGGGGCAGGATAAACAAGTCAAAGACAACAGTTCGTAGAAGAAAAATGAAGCAGACTTTGCTCCTATGATGCTGCTTGGCCTGCTGTGTTCATCCAGCCCTGCACCTTGTTGTCTCGGATTCTCCAGCATCTGCAGTTCCTACTATCTCAGACTTTATCTTTGTTCTTCACAATGATGCTGGATAGTGATTGGTTTTGACAACAGGGCTTGATACCTAATGAATGAAGGAGATTTAGAAATTGCAGAATGCTTCTGTGACAACATCTGGAACAATACGTTGTGGAACCAACAAGAGTTAAATCTATTTTAGATTTTGTGCTGTGCAATGCAGCAAGGCTAATTAGTAATTAGTAAAAGATCCACAGGAAATATTACTATTGATTCTGATAGTTCAGTCACAAACAAGAATTTTAAATAATAATAATCATAGCCAATTCCATAGATATGAGAGAGATGGCTAAGATTTAACTTGTAAAATTCAAAAAATCCAAAGGATTTGATAGCTGCAAAAATGGTGGCTATGATTTTCCAAAATTTCCTAGATTCTGGAATGGTCTCAGGAGATTTAAAATATTCATGTTCGGAGAGGCTTTGGCGAACTAAAAGAAACACAAATTAGCACTCGGGTAGAGCAGACAATTAGGAAAACAAATGCCACATTGATCTTTATTGCAAGACAATTGATGACAAGAATAAGTAAATCTTGCTACAGAGCACACACATTTGGAGCGCTGTGCAATTTTGTTCTACTTAAGCAAGGATATACTGCATTGGAGGCAGTGTAGCAAAGTTTAAATTGATTGGTTCCTGAGATGAGAAGGTCATCCTATGACAAGATGCTTAATAAACTGGGTCTATTATTTTTTAAATTTGGGAAAACATATGTGATTTAATTGAAACATTCAAGATTATGAAGTGAACTTGACAGGGTATATACAGTAAGTCTCCAACTTAAGTTATTCCTTTTTAAATAATTCCACTTTAAAGTCAGTTCCTCCCTCCTCATTATCCAAGGGGCCAAAGACACCTTCCAGGTGAAGCAGCACTTTACCTGCACTTCACAGAGCCTAGTATACTGCATTCACTGTTCACAATGTGGTCTTCTCTACACTGGGGAGACGAGGTATAGATTGGGTGACTGCTTCACAGAACACGTGCATTCTATTCATAAAAAAGACCCTGAACTTCCCGCTACCAAGGTGTAGAGCTGGATGAACACAGCAAGTCAAGCAGCATCAGATGAGCAGGAAAGCTGACGTTTCGGGTCTGGACCCTTCTTCAGAA